GTTCTAATCTGAACCTAGGATCACACTGGAAATCAATCGAAGACTAGACTACATCTATGTCTCAGCAAGGGGTGGTGTCGAAATCTTCACTGAGGATTCTCCTTGTTTACTAATTTGGGACCACGCTGAGATACTGAAAACCAAAGATGGTTGGTCCTTAGTTTAAAAGTGGCCTCTGGAAATGAAACTACCTGTAGTAGTGTGAGGCCATCTTCAGGCTGGGGAGATGCCTATTCCTAGGCTGAAGTGTCCATTGTAGATTCAGTAATCCCATTTCTACTCTCTGCATTTTGGGAAACTTAACTGTTCCACTTCAGAGGTAGAAGGTACCTGGCATATTTCATGGGTTGGTAAAAAACTGCTCTCTGCTCTCCTCCCCAAGGTGTGGACACTGCAAAAGGCTTGCTCCAGAATACGAGAAGGCTGCCAAGGAGCTCAGCAAGCGCACGCCTCCCATTCCCCTAGCTAAGGTCGATGCCACTGCTGAAACTGAGCTTGCAAAGAAGTTTGATGTTACTGGCTACCCAACTCTCAAAATCTTCCGCAAGGGCAAACCTTATGACTACAGTGGGCCACGGGAAAAATATGGTACTGCAATTTCTGCTTTTTCTTGTTGTCTGCGGGCTTGACCGCAAAAATTTTAACATCTCTATAGGACTTGCAGGCTTGTTAACACCATAACAGTAGAAGCTGGGGAAACCTGACAAATTGTACTCTTCACAGGCCAGCAATTTAAACTTGTCTGTAATCTTTGACATCTTATGGTGATACTGTCAGTTCCTTTTAATAGAAAGGAAATTAAATACCCATGGTGAAGCAGTGGCAGTATGAGTAAATGGGCAGCCTTTAATTGTACTGGAATGCACCATAAGGGCTGGCAAAATACTCAATATTAAGTTTTAATAAGAGGAAAGACTTCAGACTATCCAAAGTAGAACTTTGGTTCATAGCAGGTTCAGGAGACAGTGAAGTGTCTGGAATTTCATAAAGGAGGGTCACTTGCAAGATCAGCCAGTATCCATGGATCTCATGCTTGATCACCTCTTCTGAAACCAACCTGAAGGAGAATATCCAGAACTGCAGCTTTAAAAACTTAGACTGAGGTCTTGCTGACTTGGTCTTTCGGTTATTGTGGGAGGGCTGTCCACGGTGTCACGTGGTGTCCATGGGAAATGTGGTACTAAACAATGTTGTACATGGAATGCCTGAACCTTTCAGTTCAGTAAAAGTTCTAAGCAACTTTTTGGGGGCGGGTTTGTCTCACAGGTATTGTCGACTACATGATTGAACAGGCTGGTCCTCCGTCCAAACAGATTCAGGCTACCAAGCAGGTACAGGAATTTCTGAGGGATGGGGATGATGTCATCATCATTGGTGTCTTTAGTGGAGAGAATGACAAAGCCTATCAGCTCTATCAGGAAGCAGGTACAGAATGTTTAAAAATATTAATTAAATATGTTTTGTTGGGATTCTGACTAGGACTCTGGGTGCAGAGAGATCATTTATTTATGTTCTTAGTTCAGTAGGGGAGGTTGGAGAGGAACAAGAAGTAGGTGGAAGGGTGATCTTCTACTCAAGAAAAAAGCTCACACCAGACTCTGGGGTTGTAACTGAAGTATCAGCCAGTCACAGAAGATACTTCCTCCTGGTATTATGTCCCTAAAAGGGAGCCCCCGGTGGTCCAGGGGAAAATACACTGCACTGTCACTGCAGAGACCCGGGTTCGATTCCCAGTCGGGGCCCCTCCCCGGGCAGATGGAGCTCGTTAGCCCTGTAAGGCAATCCATCTACGTCCTGAGGACCTCGCTGCCACCGTCCAAGCGTGCTTGGCCCCGGCAGATGAACCTCAGGATTAAAGGGTGGG